CAAGGGGATTTACCCTATGTCTGAAACAACTTGAAGGCATACGACAGTAACAATCCTAATTAACTTGACTATCTATCAGCCAAAAGCAGGCCCACACTTCCTATGAAATACTGGCAAGTTTCTGTTGGTTAAAATTGTTTTTCATTTTAAATATTGTATTGTTCTTTCATTTTCATTGCACTACAAATAAAATATTTGTAGTGTGCATAGAAATTTGTTCATTTTTTTTTTCAAACTATAGTCCGGCCCCCAACAGTCTGAGAGACCGTGAACTCTGCTTAAAAGGTTTGGGGCTTCCTGTCTAGATAGTCTAGGGTTCCTTAAAGCCAGCTTCCAGCTCTAAAGATATTTATTTATTATTTATTTATGGCATTTATATCTTGACCTTCTCACCACGAAGTGGACTCAGAGCGGCTTACACATTATATGTACATACAATATATTATATTATTAGCATAGCTCAATATTAGTATTATATTACGATATTGTCCTATTGCACTATATTGCAATATTATTAGTAATATTACATGTAATATAAAATATATAATTATATTGTATTATTAGTATTATATATTACAATATTATGATCAATACTATATTACATACAATATATTATAATTATTAGCATAGTACAATATTAATATTATATATTACTATATTGTACTATACCACTATAGGTAAAGATTTTACCATTAAGTCCAGTTGTATCCGACTCTGGGGTGTGGTGCTCATCTCCATTTCTAAGCGGAACACCTCAGCAAGCGAGTGTCCAAAAGTGGCAGGCTCAAACCCAGCACCTCAATCTGTGGGTGATACCAGATGAGAGACTCCTCCCTGGGCACACAAAAGACTGGGCGACTTGGAAGGCGCTGAACAGACTGCGCTCTGGCACCACGAGATGCAGAGCCAATCTTAAGAAATGGGGCTACAAAGTGGAATCCACGACATGCGAGTGTGGAGAAGAGCAAACCACTGACCACCTGCTGCAATGCACCCTGAGCCCTGCCACATGCACAATGGAGGACCTCCTTGCGGCAACACCAGAGGCACTCCAAGTGGCCAGATACTGGTCAAAGGACATTTAATCAACTACCAAGTTTGCAAAATCTGTGTTCTTTTTATCTGTTTGTTTGTTTTGTTCTGTTCGAAATGTAATACAATGGTATGGTTGCTGATGACACGATAAATAAATAAATAAAAATAAAGCGGAAGAGCCAGCGCTGTCCGTAGACACCTCCAAGGTCATGTGACCAGCACAATTGCATGAAGCACTGTTACCTTCCCGATGCAGCAGTACCTATTGATCTACTCACATTTGCATGTTTTGAACTGCTAGGCTGGCAGAAGCTGGGGCTGACAGTGGAAGCTTACACTGCTACCCGGATTCAAACCTGTGACCTTTAGAGTTTAGCAGCTCAGTGCTTTAACTCACTGCGCCACCAGGGGCTCTACTATACTGCAATACTTTTAGTAATATTACATGTAATATATAATATACAATTATTATATCATATTATTATTATATTGTACTACATTATATTATCAATATTATATGTATATACAATGTATTATATTATTAACATAGAACAATATTAGTATTATATATTACTATATTGTTGCTGGGGGAGAGGCTCTCAACTGATGACCCAGGAGACACGGTGGAACTGTCTTCCTGGCTCCCCTTCTTCCCTCTGGCCCCAGAGTGGCAGTTCTTGCTGGGGGAAGGGGCTCCCAACTATAGTGTCAATATAGTGGCTCCCAAGATAGTATCAATACATTTGTAAATATTTTGTCCATATAGGATACATTGTCAGAAGCTACAGAAAAGATGTGTTTTCCAGAGCTTTAATCCCCTGTTCAGTTTTCCCCCCCGCTTGTCCAGTAAATAGCAGAGATATAAGAAACAGAATACAATGAGCAAAAGATGCAATTATATTCCATCTGCCCAATTAACCTCCTTTATATTTTCCTTTATATACTCATCTGGAAATTTTAGTGAAAAAATTAACCCCCAAAACCTGAGTTGATTTAACTATAGGTCAATGTGAGTACTGTCCCATAACCTGTATCAAAAAGGAACAATTTCCTGGCCTCTAAATCTGCCCTTGACATGAGGTTGACGTATACATAAGTATATATGGTCACTGAATATAGCTTTTGTGATGGACAAAGTGCAAGGAAAAAATATGGAGTCTGTAGAGCTCTCCACATTGTAATGCAAGGCTTGATTTTGCCTCAGTTTTCCCACCAGGAGAAAGACAAATCCAGGAGGACACACTTGATTGCTTTCTTTCCTGCTGTCATGTATCAGAAACACAGTGGTTTCGAATCCCTGCACCTTTGCTGTTAGTGAGAATAGGCTAGTCAGTGACAGATATGGAGATTGGAATAATTGATGCCCCTGGAAGCACCATACTATGAAATTAGTTTCCTTCTTGTTTTTTTTTTTTACTTGTGCAACATTCCCTTAAGAATCTGATAAGTCATGTGGCCTTGGTTTGTCTTCCTGAACAGATGGAGACCTCAAAAAACCCAGAGGCATTTGGGGAATAGCAGTTATTCAGTGGGAAGGTGTCTGTAGTGAGAGGCAGAAAACAACCTTAAGTGGAAATTGACACTTTTGAAAAGTGTCAATTTTCAATGTCACTTAGAATTGCCCTCTAAGTGAATTTTTACTTTCTTCCACTATATTTATGTAGGGTTCAGGGAAAAGTCTCTGTTATAAGACAAAAGTGAGTTAACCTAGTTTGGCAACAGCGTCTGTCATCATGATCTCAGGATCTTATTTATTCTGCCACAATAGTTCTATTTAATGAGCTCTTTGCAGCTGGTATTTGGATAAATGACCTAAGCTAAAACAACAAACAAACAAACAGTGTTGTTTCATGATTGCACAGAGACAGTCCTGGAAAAGGCTTCCCGACCTGGCACATACAGCTCTATTGGACTACAGTTAGCCCGTATCTACCAGGATTGATGGTAATAATTGCCATTGAACACAGTTGGAGATGAGGGGTTGTAATCCAACGCAGCCAAGTTGCAGAAGGTGCATGTTAGACAAAGTTTCTTGTTGCATTATAACAGAGCCCGATGGGATCTGAAATCACCATTTATGTAAAAATAGAACCTTGAAATTAAGTGTTTTTCTCTGATGAGAACATGATATTATCTATGATATTATGTACATTGTTTCTTTTTGTTGTAAACCACCCCGAGTTCCCTTGGGGAGAGAGGGTGGGATATATTAAAACATTATTATTATTATTATTATTATTATTATTATTATTATTTTACTGACACAAAACACAATATGTCACAGTAAATGAGATATATATGCTGGATTTCGTATCACAAAATCACAAGTTGAACACTTCCCAAGCGTCTAGGACTGTGTGATGTATTTTTGAATGATACATGCAAATCCAAGTAAGGAAGCCTTTTGCAGTTGACAGATCGTGATTTTGTCAATGTTTATTGTTTCCAAATGCCGGCTGCCGCTGAGACCTTTATCATCATCATCATCATCATCATCATCATCATTTTCAGCAAGTCTAGTATAAGAATTCAGTTCTTCACTAACTACTGCACCAGTTACAGTAAGTGCCAAGTCCAGAAAATACAATGGACCATTTTACCTTTCTCTGAATTTCTCCCGTCGTTTGAGAGCTTGTGTGGTTTAGTGGTATTGGACTAGGACTCTGGAGACCATTGTTCAAACCCATGCTCTGTCATGGAAAGACTGAGTGACCTTCGGCAAATCAGTCTTTCAACTTCAGAAGGAGGCAAGGGCAAACTCCCTCTGAACAAATCCTGCCAAGAAAATCCCATGAAACGTTTGTCTTAGGGTCACCATGAATCAGAAATGACTTGAAGACACAGAACAGCAACAATAATGTTTGCATTGATTAGAAGGCAGGAAATCCAAAGCATGTTGTTTTTCTAGACAGTTTTTACTATCTGGGTGTGCTTGATGACAAAGCATAATAAATTAGGAGTGGGGAGCTAGGATATGAACCTCAGGGGTCAAATTGTCAAATGAAAGGTGTCTTCCATCAGTTGCATGCCAGCAGTGTGCATCCCATTCACCCATATACACCATCCATATAATTGAGATATACGCCTCCCATATCATACATTCACTTTTTTAAAATGCCCTTCTTTTTCTCCTTCTCTGCAACTCTCTATCACACATGCCTTTCATATCTATAGTGTCCACAATCTACTAATGGATACATACACACTTACAAGTATTTTACTTACAAACATTTTACCTTCTCTGTTAATCCAGAAAAACCAGTGCAGGGCATCTAGTGCCATCTAGTGACTAAACCACACATTCATTTGGTGCCATAATGATCTTTTTCTATAAGAATCACTCTAGGAAGGGTGAGATCAGAAACTACATCAAATGTCTATGTGTATGGGTACCATCAAAATGCCTGTCAATTTATGTCAATTCCTCGATTTTGTAGGGTTTTCCTAGGCTTACTCATTTGGGGAAAAAGTCCAGGTTTTTTTACTATGTCAGAAGCGACTTGAGAAACTGTATATCGCTTCTGGTGTGAGAGAATTGGCTGTCTGCAGACACGTTTCCCAGGGAACACCTGGATGTGTTACCATAGTGTAGGAGGCTTCTCTCATGTCCCTGCATGGGAAGCTGGAGCTGACAGACAGGAGCTCACCCGATCTTGCGGATTCAAACCTCTAATCTTCAGATCACTTCAGCCAGCACAAGGGTTTAACCCAGGCATCCTCAAACTGCGGCCCTCCAGCTGTTTGGGCCTCCAACTTCCAGAAGCCCTAACGAGCTTGCTGAATTGTCAGGAATTCTGGGAGTTGAAGGCCCAAACAGCTGGAGGGCTGCAGTTTGGGGAATCCTGGTTTAACCCATTGCGCCACCGTGGCTCCAAAGATCCAGGTACTAGGGCATGTTTTCTTAATGTATAGACCATGTTTAATGGCAAGGAACTAACAGAATCCTCTTTCTCCTCCTGCTGCAGATATTGGGATGAGTTTCATACTTGCGCCATGACTGCCCTTTGGGAGTGTCAGAGGGAGGCAGTAACGATCTGGGAGATGTTAAAAAAGGAATCAACAAAGATCAAATTTCAAGGCAGCCTTTTCGACCTCTGCACACCTAGTGACTCCCAGAATCTCAGCTCAGTACAGATTCCAACTCCATCAATATTAAGCATCACTCTTATGGTCACGTGGCTTAACTTATAAAACGAGCAGTTCTGCAACTGTGTACGGATGTACATGTTTTTCTCCTTCTGAATCTTGGCTCCATGAAGGTTCCACCTATGTTATTTTTAAGCATCACTCTTATGGTCACTTTGGTTAAAAGGAGCACCTCTGCAATTGTATTCAGATGTACATAGTTTTGTTTCTAAGTTTCCTTCTAAATACTGTTAAAGTTGTTTGTTTAGTGAATGGACACATTTCCTAATCTTTAGTTTGTCCAGTTATCTGGGTTATAAATAGGAAGTGCGGTAGGCTCAGTTCAATCTTGGCCACTTTAAGATGTTAAATTGAAGATTTAACCAACTGAAATATAGTTTGTATGGTACAAGCTGGCACCATTGCCTTCCACAACTTAATCTGCCAGTTTGGATATGCTCTGGTGAAACTACCCTCATGCTGACTCTTTCTTCCCATATCTATAAAACCTTAACAAAACACACTTGTGTGAAAATATACTGGACACCATATTTGAACAGAAAACATAGGAGATAGTAGCAAACCACCTGAAATCTTTGATGCCAGAAGTGCTGGATTTCCCCAGAGAAACAAACTCTGAAGATGCTTGCCATAGATGCAAGCAAAATATCAGGAGATAATACCTCTAGAACATGGCCATATAACCCGAAAAAACCTACAACAATCCAAACTCACACAATGTTTCAGACCCAATAAATATTTACTGTTGGATCTATATGGCTGCATTTCCATGCTAATCTGGATACAGACTGCTTTTATTGATCTGTACAGTTGCATTTGAACACATGATCACAGAAATTCCATGATCCAAATAACTGTATGCTGTAAAAGGGTAAACTACATTGCATTATAGCTTCAGATGGATATCACTAAAAGATGCCTGATGCAAAGATGGCATCTCAGGTCTACCTGTAAAATGGAACATTTGCACTTGAGTCTACCTGCATTTATGAAGAAGCTTTTCTTCCTGACAACCAATGTTGTTCTTTCCTACATTTCTGAGGGATTATATGCTGGTGATCTTGAAACTGAAGACGATATTCAAAGAGAGAAAGGTTGTTTTGCAATTTTGTGGTGATGTGCATCTGCTGGAAGGAGCAGAAGAGGTGGGTATTCTGTTTGTAAATTATCTTTTGCTTTATGACCTGTGTTCTTACATAGTTCTAGCGCAGGGTCAACCATGTTGACCAGCCAACATATTGCAACCACTCCATATCTCAATTGCTTTGCTTACTGCATTTGCAATGAGTCTCTCTCTCACTCTCTTTCTTCTAGTGTCAGGAGCGACTTGAGAAACTGCAAGTTGCTTCTGGTGTGAGAGAATTGTCAGTCTGCAAGGACTCTGCCCAGGGGACGACCAAATCCTGTGGGAGGCTTCTCTCATGTCCCCTGATGAGAAGCTGTAGCTGACAGACAGCAGCTCACCCTGCCAACCTTTTGGTCAGCAGTCCTGCTGGCACAAGGGTTTAACCCACTGCGCCACTGGGGGCTCCAGTGAGCAATTTTTCTGTGTCAGGAGCGACTTGAGAAACTGCAAATCACTTCTGATGTGTGATAATTGGCAGTCTGCAAGTGAGAATATGAGACAGCATTAAACCATAACTGTAGTTAACTACTGCAGGATCTTAGACAAAGGTATTTAATGTGCGATGCCAGGAACCAAACCTTAGATCTTGCACTTCTCAGCCCCTTCTGTTTTCTGCTTCTCAAACTGCTTCTATCCATGGAAAGAGAGGAGAGTTTGAAAACAGGCTGTCTGCCTTGCATCCTGTCACTTAGGGTTCATCTACATCTTAGAATTAATGCAGTTTGACACTACTTTAAATGGCATGGCTTAATGGAATCATGGAAATTCCTCTGGATGCCCCATTTCTCCACATGCCCCTCACTTTTCTTTTGAATGGCCCATTTTGGGAATTAGTGTTGGATTTTAAAAAATGAAATTCAGGAACTGGAGGGTTCAGGTTTTTTTTTTAATCCACACACCTTTTGTGGTATGAACCATAAAGATACGACTGGGCTAGACAATCACATGAATAAAACATGGATTAGATTATGCATTACATTTGCCTTTAAGACAACAAAGTTTTAGTCAGACCTACTTTTCAAATCTGAGATGGAGGTACAGGGCTACTTTGGGGGGGGGGGGAGAATACAATGCTTGGCAATGTTTATCTCATATTTCATGTACAATTGTTATAAATTGTCATGTGGTCACTTACACTCCAGAAAAAAAGCTTGTTCATTAATGAAATTTAAAATACAAATGACTGTTCTCATTTCTGTTCCTATCAAAATATAAAGATGCTGAATGAAATATTTGCAATCAGACTCTGGAACAGAAGCAGCTGTTGTGGAAACACATTCTGGGAGCAACTCCTCAAGCGCTGACAGCCGCCTGCTATTTACATGCTCTGTGGATCTATCAAAGCAGAAGAAAACTGCTCAAAACACAAAGAGAAGTGGGCTTCATGAGATAAAGATGGTGGCAAGCGGATCTATGGAACAATCGGATACATTTGACTGAATGTAAGCCCCACTGATGTACATGCTTTTACTGATAGGCAATTTGGGTCATACTTATTACTTGTCTTTAGAAAAAATAAAGAACAGATGGTCACTAGAGTTTGAAGAACAAAATAGCAAAAAAGAATATACATTTGTCTTATATAATAATAATAAATATTATACTGGCAGCCTCCAAGTTACAAACATCTGTCTTACAAATTACTCATAGTTAAGAACAGGAGTGAGATAACAGGTGATAGAAATCTAACCCGAGGAAGGGAAAATCACTCCTCCTATCATGGGGGGAAAAGTGTCTCCACTGAAGCTTTCTCACCAATCCTTGTTTCCACAAGAAGTCAGATTTTTCAAAATTCAATTATCACAGGGACAGAAAGTAAGGTGAAATCTTCTGAACAGGGGCACTGTCAGCAAAACAAACACCACAGGGGTATTAACCCTTCCCTATGCTATACAAAGCTTTTATACACACACACTTGAGTGGAGTGACACTTTTTAAAAATACCTGTTTCAACTTACATACATACACAACTTAAGAACAAACCTACAGAACCCATGTTGTTTGTAACTTGGGGACTGACTGTATATTAGTTCTATGCATTTTAGTGTCTTCATTTACCCTTCTTATGGCTGCCCTTGAAGAGAATTAAGAAATCGCAGCTAGAGCAAAAATAAAGCAGCGAGAGCCCTTTGTATATGCTTCATAGACCATAACACAATGTTCTTCTGCCAACTATATCAGCTTCCAATTCATTTCAAGTCTAATTCAAGGCCGTAACTCTTATTTGTTAAGTTCCTAATGGTGGGGAGTCAAGATGTGTGAATACCTTCCGCTTCCATGTGAATCTCTCCCTAATATACAGTCTTTTTCAAAGGCCCTGTCCTTCCAAAGGTCATGGGAAAATTCAGTATTTTATTGATCTCCTTACCAACATCAAGGAGATCAACATAATATTGAATTTTCTTTTGTAGATGACACAAATCAGAATCTTCCTCCTTAACAAAATCAGATCTATTTCAGGTGAGTCACAAAGATTGTTTTACTTGGGCTCACATTTGAAGAGTTTTAATTTTTATTTTGTTCTCTGCATGGTATAAAGATGGCCTTGCTTTGTTCTTAATTTTACTGTTTGTTCCTGAAAATTATATACTGTCTTAGGGACCTTTGGGGCAGAAAGATCAAATTAGAGTACCACTCTTGATGGTTTGTAACTAATGTTACAGTGGTATGTACTGGTGAAGTTACATAAAATCACCACTATGCTCAAAATACTGGGTAGGAGAACATATCACTTGCCTGTATGAGATCCTTCCATCTTACCATATGGTGTCCTCCATTTTAATTTTATTTTTTACCTGAATATTACTGGCTGCACTGGTGATAAATTTTGAAAGCTGTAATCCAAAACACTTCCATATTGGTGAAACTCTCCCTGGCTCAAAACCTGTCATTAAAGTTGAAAGGCCACCTAGAAGCCAACCCATGAAGGAACTTTGCTTAAGTCGTTGGAGAACCATTGGCTTCATAATTTGACAAAACTAAACTAAACTGATTGAGTACAGATAACTTCAAATGGCATTTCCTGCCACTGCTTGGAAAATTTATTACTTAGGAGTACAGCATGCGAGGATCTATGGGACCTGAAGTTCCAAAGAGGAGCCACAGTGGTGCAATGGGTTAAACCCTTATGCCGGCAGGACTGCTGACCTGAAGATCGACAATTCGAATCCGTGAGACAGAGTGAGCTCCTATCTGTGAGCCATGCGGGGACATGAGAGAAGCCTCTCACAGAATGGTAAAACATCTGGGAATCTCCTGGGCAATGTCCTTGCAGACTGCCAATTCTCTCATACCAGAAGCGACTTGCAGTTTCTTAAGTTGCTCCTGACACACACACACAAATAGTTCCAAAGAGTAACACTTTCAAGCTCTATATATTGACTGAAATGATGTCGTAAAAATTGCCAGAAAAACGTTTTCCATTGAGAAGAAATGATTGGAAAGAGATGGCTACATATGCAGTGTTCAGCAAGAGCAATGCCTTTTTGCACATTGTACTCCACTCAGAAGACCACAGTGCCATCCTGTGGAAGCCAAATGACATACTGTTCTTTAAAATATTCTAATATAAGAAGGAGGAACTGTCACTTAACTGTATTGATGAAAGCCAGCATGGTAACAGTTTTGAGTGTTGGACTATGACTCTGATAGGGTTTAAATTCACACTCATCCATGGAAACACACTCAGTGACTTTGGGCAGAGGACCACAAAAGCAAAACCCCAAATGAACAAATCATGTCAAGAAATCCTTGTGATAGATTCAAGGTAAAAGTTTCCCCTGATATTAATTCTAGTCGTGTCCAACTCTAGGTGGTGGTGCTCAACTCCATGTCTAAGCTGAAGAGCCAGCGTTGTCTGTAGATGCCTCCAAGATAATGTGGCTGGCATGACTGCATGGAGAGCCGTTACCTTCCCGTCGGAGCGGTACCTATTGATCTATTCACATTTGCATGTTTTCAAACTGCTAGGTTAGCAGAAGCTGGGGCTAACAGTGGGAGCTCACTTCGCTCCCCGGATTTTAACCACCGACCTTTTGGTCAGCAAGTTCAGCAGCTCAGTTGCGCCACCGGGGGCTCTCAGATTCTATATAAGGTTACCATAATTTGGAAACAACTTGAAGTCACACAAGACAGAGATATTCTTGAACTGTAAAAATTGAGGAGGAAATGTCCTGCCTTTTTCCCCAATACCATTTCTGAGGATAATGAACAAAAGATGAAACCTTGACAAGAGCTTCTACCTGCAAAAGACAATCAGGTGCAGAATCAATGGAACCCAACAGGCACATTTGGCGAGATGGTTTATCAAGTTCTCTTTGTAAAATGTTCCCTCTATTCATTACAAACCAAGCATTAACTTACCAATATAATTTATACAAACTAATGACGTTCACAGATATTTACACACAAGGGGAAGTTCAGTGGCAGAAATGAAAACAAAACACTTACAACTGGGAGTTGCAGATTAACCCTCCCTTGAAAAAGGAGGGAGTTAAGTAGTTACTCAGAGCTATGTTAATAGGAGACAACTAAAATTGAGTGTGGAGTAAGTTCCTCTTAAATGTGATTCAGTTTTGGTAGTAATCCTAATTTTTTGCAATTTTTCCACACAATATCCTGCAGCAGAGAAAGCGTATCCTTGGTTAATAAATATTAGAATCTGGTGATAAGCAGAAAGTCCCAGATCTTTATGGAAATACATTCATTGTAATACAAAAAAAGGCTCATTGGAAGCATATCCATCCAATTCTGAAATCAGAAATACCTAGCCAGATGTTGTCAACAAGTCTGCCTGGCTGGCTGACTTGTCTTATGTACTCTTTATCTCCTCAGAGCTGGTAAATTTAAAGTTTCAGTATCATGGTTCCCTGAATTACATTTCTATACAACAGCACCCTTTAATCCACAATGCAATTCTGACTGGTCAATAAATAGTAATGTCCCAATAAAAAGTTGATTTTTTAAAAACGTTTTTCAAAGATTCTTTTTCTCAATCCAATAAATATGATCACTTTTTTCCCTGCATCTAGCCAAACCTTCTAGCACCACAGCAGCCAAGTGAGAAATACAGCATCACATCCACTTATACTGTTTTATCTCCTTGATTTTCAATTCAAAGGACTGTTGGAAGTAAATCACGGGGACAGGGGGAAAAGCAATCTCACATTTTCATTGCAAACTGCCTGGAGTCAGCTACCTAGATGGTGTCCATGTTACAGAAAACCCGGGCTGGGATCATCACACAAATTCTCAAGAACAGTTCATTGTCTGCTCTATGGTTCTATTATTGGTGTCCGTCATTGAATGTGCCGCTTGAGCAAAATGGATGAGTCTACACGAGGAGCAAGAGGTATGATATTGAAATAACACTCTTGTGCACATGGAAGCGTTACAGCCCCAGCCTTCCAAATGAGGTTTCTTAAGCCATCCAAATTGACCTATTGGGTTTCTTCACTGCATTCTCATGTACAACATCTTAGTGCCCAGATGCTAAAGCTGATAGTGAGGGGCGGTACCTCTGACAGTCTATACGTTGGATTTAGGGGCTGAATTCAATGGGATTTCCTTCAGTTCTGTTCTCATACAGAGGTACTCTCCAATCACAGCCATGAGTGCCGTGCAAACAGTATGTACAAGCCACCAGGTTAGAGCAGTCGGAAAGTGTGCGTTGTAAATCCAGCAGCCCAGCAAGTGGAAGAAGTGAACCGTGACAGTGAAATCCAAACACTGCTTCCCTCGTCGAATGAAATACAGCAAGCCTATGGCACTGTGAAGGAAGACACACACACATATATAATTATTGTTTTTTCTGGAACTGTAACATTCAGAGCAGATTATGCAACCAAACTCCACGAGACACTTCATTCCTTATTTTCGCAATTTTAAACAACACAGATCATTTGAATAGCTCTGTTTCCCGCAAAGGACACTTCAGCACTAGTCTAATTCCTGATTTCATCACTGCTAAAGATACTTTCACTTAGAAATGTCAGCAATCAAAATGGTGACTTACCACGTAAGTGCATTCAGGATAAAAGCCATCATGGCAAGTCTCCCAGGTGAGGTGGAAAATCCCAAAACCTGTACAGATTATAAAGATAAACAAGATGGTTCAAGATGCATTGAGCCCTTCTGTTTCTATACATGTCATTCACAGTAAAGTCTAAATAGCACATTCTTCAAATTCTGAAAGAAAAACAAATTTGACTAGAAGAGAGAGTGCGTAAGTAAATTTACAAAATTAATCAGGACTGGGTCAAATAAATTCCTTATTAAGAATACTTACACATTACCGAAAGACTGACAATGACTGAATTTCATTTAAAAGGATGTGAAATCCAGTTTCAACAGAACAAATCTTTAATTTTGCTGTTTCAAAGGTAGGAAGACAAGGAGAACTGGAGCTTCCCAGAGGTTAAGATCTTCTGGGAAGGCCCTGCTCTTGGTACCACCACCTTTGCAGGTGCGACTGGTGGGGACAAGAGACAGGGCCTTCTCAGTGGTGGCTCCTCAGCTGTGGACCTCTAGTGAGATTCAATCAGTCCCTTCCCTCTTGTCATTTCACAAACAAGTGAAAACTTGGCTTTGGGAGAAAGCATTTGGCTCAGCATAATTATCTGTACAATTTGTAAACTAACTTAGCTTATTATGGAAAACAGCCAGTGAAATTGTTTCCTGTTGCATCCTTATAGTTACAGTAAAAAGTGGAAGCATTTCTAACGTATTAAGAAACTTTGCAATGTCTAGCTTACTCTGATTCATGTTTTCCATATTCCATGTTTTTATTCTATGCGCTGTACAGCTTTGAACTTTCACATCTGAGCGTATCAGCAGTTCACATTCTTTCAGCATTAGTCCAGCTGCATCATTAGACACAGCACTATTTGTACTTGTCCTTTGCTCTTCCCCAGTGGCTGTTTGAGTGGCTTTTGATCTGCTGGTCTCATTTTCCAGCAATATCTCTTGATTCCTTTGGGATTGTTTCATCATTTCTTTTTCAAATGTTTCTTTTAAGAGCCTTTTGTAGTTTTCAGTGTTTATATTATTCTCTTACCAACCCTACATTCAACTATAAGGAAAGTAAACAATTTCATCTGTTTCCAAGGTAACAGATGCTCAAGAACAGCAGTTTCCAAATGGTGTTCTGTTGAATCCTTGCCAGAGGATTCCATGTTGAAATTCGACATACCTCTTCTTTAAAAATGAAATTTAAATTTGTACCCCTGAATGATGTTTGGGTAGGACTGATACACTTATAGATGTCAGCAGTCAGAAAGGCTATCCAAGCTCTAGTCCCCTTCATGTCCACCTATCAATGCGAATCAGGCTTTTCAGCTGATACTTACACCAAAAAGAAATTTAGGAGAAAGCTGGATGTCGCTCACATTTACATATTCAGATACTGGGACATAAAACCCAATTTCAAAACTATTTTAAGTACAAAAATGAAACAATTTCTTTATCTCTTTAAGTGTGATTCCAATATTTTCCTGAACCAAAATAAATGTTTGGATTTATACCTAATATTCTCTTGTACCAAAATAAATGTTTGTGGTTATGTTTAAAATGTTTTTTATTTTCAAAATTACTACATTATACAAGATGTCCAGGCAATACCTGTAGATGAAAGAAGGCATAATCTTGTGGGTTCACAATGCTTAGGGATAGTGTTAGAATTCCACAGAAAAAAAAATCAGAAACAGAGTTAGGATTCAGTGTATATGTGTGTGTGTTTTCCGAAGGGTTCCATGACTGAAAAGGTTTGGGAACCGCTGCTCAAGAAGAACATATATATGGAGATCACAAAAAGGTCAATACAGAAATCCAACTGATTGAGAGCCCTTCAAGACATGCCCTATATCCCAGGATCTGATCCCAGGTTTTCTGCTTTAAACTGGATTACATGAATCCCCAGTGCCAGATAATCTGGGATAAACAGAAAACCTGGGATCCGATCCTAGAATATAGGGCCTATCTGGAAGGGCCCTAAGCAATGGGAAGCAGAAGAAGGAGTAATTTCATTATCTATGCAAAACCAAGATGAGGAGCAGACTATGATATAGAACATTAAAGGATAACGTCAAAATTTGCAACCCAGAAGAGCAATAAATCAATCACAGTCCCAAAATAGTATGTAAAGACCATGTAAAAACAAATCTGCAGGATGATTATCAGGAAAGAATGCAAAAAGGTCTTGCATATAGTCAAAAGGGAAAAAAAGTCACAATGGATTGCTGATGAAACTCTTCAAACTGTTGAAGAAAGATGAAAAACAAGTAAAACTGACAGAAGTAGAAACAGAATCCTTAATGCAATTGTTCAGCAACTTGTACACAAGGACACAGGGAATGTAATAAGCAAAGATAAAAGCAAAAAAAAAAAAAGACAACAAAAAAGGAAGGAACAAGAGACATCTACAAGATCTCTGAGGACAAAGGGAATTCAAAGGTTGGGTTTGCGTATCAAACAAAAGTATGTTTATAGTCAGGACACAATGAAAAAGAAATGGAGAATACACTGAGGACTAAGCAGAACAGGTGAAACAATGACAGATCCCTTCAAAGTAAGCCTTTTGGTAGAGAATCTGCAATTCTAGAAAGTGGAGTGGAACCATGAACATGATGTCATATTAATATAGCCATTTTCATGCTATACAAAGAGAATCCATTCAAATTCTAATGAAAATGTGCCTCCAAATTTAGAACACAAAAGTCCAGACAGTGGAAATACTCCTGTCCGTATTCTAGTCACAAGCACAGAGTGTATCAGGAAAAGAACAACACTGGCCAACACACATTTTGGTGCCTCAGATGTTAGCCCTGTTCATGAATATATCTGAGCTGCTGATTCCAAAAATGACACCAGTTTTCCATATTATCTCTATTTTTTGAGATATAGAAAATATGCCATATACTAGTCACTATCTGCTCTCCCATAGAAAAGCATGATAACCTCATCTAAGAAACTAGAGCTGATGTGGTCTATCTAATGCCATTTTCTGAATTAGCACCCCAATGAACCCCAGGGCTGTGCAGTTTAAGATATATGAAAGCTGAACAATGAAGAAATATTACAGAAAGAAAATCCATTAATTTGAAACCTGGTGCAGGACAGAATGGACTCCCTAAAAGAAAAACAAATAGGTCTCAGAGTAAATAAGGCCTGAGCTCTCACTTGAAGACAAGATGACTAAACCGAAGCTGTTGCATTTGAGACATATCATGAGATGACGTGACTCACTGGGAAGATGACAATGCTTATAATGCAGAAGGCAGCAGAAACAGAAAAAGGCTAGACTACATGAGGGTAAATTCAATCAAGGAAAACATAGCCCCAAGTCTACTGCTCGCTAAGCAGTGCTCTTGGGAGGTCTCTCATTTCAAAGGGTGGCAGAAGTTAAAGTTTGATGGCAAAAACCAACAAACCAGAATCAGACTTCAAAAAAACACTCTCTCATACACACACACGAAATTAATTCCTGGTTCTACTCAAACATTATTTTTCAGCAACTGTTTGGGTGTCTATACGTGGTTTTAGTTGGCTCTCTTGTTAGACAACTGGGAAAAAGAAACTTGCCAATTTGCCATAATTCACCCATTATATGAACATTATATCCCAATGTCTTTCTCTCTGCCCATTCTGAACTACACCAGAGCTGAGGTAGGGAAAACATGAAACTTTTCCTTTGTTGATTAGTTTATTTCCTTTTTCCTTCTTTCTCAGGCTGCCCTCTCTTCATCTGAAGGGAGCAGGAAAGCAAACTGGATTACAGGTATTGTATTTTCTCTCAAGGATTTCTTTTGGAAATGAAATGTAACTGATGGAAACAATCACATACGCTTGCAGCATTTTCCCCAAAGCCTTCTGATTCACCCGTAACTATGCAGATTTCATCCATATGCCCTCCCCAAAAAGAATGTTTTACCTCATAACTGAAAATCTGGTCAAGGGAAGGACTGTTTTGAACCAAGCTGTCCACCAGAGCCAACCAGAGTCCCAGAGAGCTGTAGTAAATGGCCTGCATCAGCACAATCTGTGAGAGAATAAGAGCAGGATCCCAGACGTAACTGCGGAACTGAGGAGCCATCCTTACAGCAGAAGCCGGCTGGCTGACTATACACAATCCAGTGAAGTTAAATAATCAAATGCACATGTCAAGGCTTCTAGACCATGGAGAGAGATCATCCATCAGCACCTAAAAGGAAAGAGAACAATGTGTCACTTCAGACTGTTTGTGGAAGAAATCTCCAGTCTATCCATTCATCAAAACTCAAGACTAGCACTGGCATCCTTTGGTATTTATTTATTTATTTATTGCATTTGTACCCCATCCTTCTCACCACCGAAGGGGACTCAGGGTAGTTCAGCCAATACTTAGATTATAAAACAGTTACAGTTAAAACAACAGTTAAAATCAATTATTAAAACATTCATGTAAACAAGTTCCACCAGTTCAGAATCACAGTCCAATCATAGTCCAAAGTCAATCTATTGACGATCACATAAAATCACTGCTCAAAGACTTGGTCCCATAACCACGCTTTGAATTTTTTCCAAAAGGATAGCAGGGAGGGGGCTAATCTGATCTCATTGGGGAGGGAGTTCCACAGCCGAGGGGCCACCACTGAGAAGGCCCTGTCCCCCATCCCCACCAGTCACACTTGCGAAGGTGGTGGGACTGAGAGCAGGGCCTCCCTGGATGAACTTAGTCTCCTTGATGGTTCATTCATAATTGTGCTACTTCTTGGCATAGTTATTTATTTATTTACTGTATTTATATACTGCCTTTCTCAGCCCGAAGGCGGCTCAAGGCTGTTTACAATCGGCACAATTCGATGCCCGCAACAACATAAAATACAATTTTAAAAAACATTTAGCAAATAATATAAAAACCATACAAAACTGATAAAAATCCTCAGTGTCTTCTTACTAAAATCATTTTCCAATTTTAGTTTTAAAGTAAGGCCCCTTATAAGCAGGCACAAGTAACCTATTAGATCTTTAGAAGAAATGAAAAGTTGCATAGGTGGCATTGGAAGTGACAGCACAGAAACTGGATCATAAAGTGATACTGGATGAGTATGCACTGTAGGATTATTTTTCCAAAATATATACTTTTAAGATACTCAAGCATAGACATCTGGGCCAGTTTAGAACATATTTAACATAGAGGATTACATCAATATATTTAGTAAAATTAGAATTTCCATAAAATCTCATTCTTCAGAAAAAAATCATAACATTTAAATGAGGAGCAGGAGGATTAAAAAAATAGTAAATACAGTATTGCCTTTTGGGATCTTAATGGTAATATAGATACATGACTGGATCTCTAAGAGTTGTCAAACAAATGCCATTCAAGGCATACAATTAAGGGCCAAGGAAGAAAGGTTTACCATTCAGAAACACCTGATAATCAGAAGAACATTGCTTCTGTAGAAATAGGTTCTTTCATTTAGCTATCTTGGTTAAAGTAGACAGCAACCTTTTCTTCCATCATTTCTTGGTTCAGAGATGATATGTCTATCAATATTATGACATATGTTGGGAGTATTGAGAATTAAATTGCACCCATAGAGCCATGTACCTAGAAATATGATCTGTTCAGCTTAATGTATTCACTTCTCTGAAGACATGCAAAGAATTTTATTGCCACCTACAATTATTAATAGGCAAAGTTTTTCAAATTAATCCTATGCATGTTTTCCCAGAAGTAACCACAACTGTGGATAATGAGTCTTATCCCTTTGTAATTGTGTCTGGGGCTGTAGTCAAGCTAAAATCCTATATATATTTCAAGTGGCATGGGGGGAGGTTTTATTGTACTCAATGAGATTTTGCTTTAACTTGTATCACTAATTTACTTAGGCTTCACCAACATAACTCATCCCATGCTCCCAACCATCTTGTGGATGTTATCGCTGTCCATATGTATTTGGCCATAAGTGGCCTTGCAAAGAGTTTTCAAGACATGGTATCTGTGATACTACTCTTGTTCTTTATGAAAAGGACTTATCCTCATCATCTTCATTTGCATCCCATCTTTTCCCGCAGAACCAGAACTCAAAGCAACTTACTTAATGCAGACTGTGGTAAATCAAACGAGGAAACCTAGGCTTTTTTCACACCACTGAATAAAATTCCACATCTTCTGTTTTGAACTGGAATATATGGCAGTGTGGACTCAGATAACCCAGTTCAAAGCAGATATTGTGAGATTTTCTGCCTTGATATTCTGAGTTATGTGGCTGTGTGGAAAGACCCTTAGTCTAAACCCTCAGAATTATTACATCAAATCATAAGGAAGGAAGAAATCAGTATTATCAGATGCAAACTCTAATGGAGATCCTGTGCTTTGAAAAGCTGTGTTACACTGTTACTGTCACGCTGTGATAGCAGAAGCTATACCTGGTGAATTTCTCTCTTAAGAGACATATCGGCTTTTTAGAAACTCAGTATACCACACTTGATCAGAGATACTCTATAGCAGTAGTTCTCATCCTGTGGATCCCCAGATGTTTGGCCTTCAACTCCCAGAAATCCTAATAGTTGGTAAACTGGCTGAGATTTCTGGGAGTTGTAGGTCAAAACACCTGGGGACCCACAGGTTGAGAACCGCTGCTCTATAGATTCTACAATATAAACATATGATGGAAGTTATGTAGGACTAATACAGGAATTAGGATCAGAGACTTTACGGAGGGTGAATATAAATACTTCACAGACCTTTGATGAAATAACTGTTTTCAATCTTGCAGCTGGTTTCGATGGATTCTAGGGTGCTGAGCTTTAAAACCACAATACCACAGACAGCTCTTTGACAAATGTCATTACTAATTTCAGTACTAATGTCAGTCATATCTTAAAACATCAAAACAAGTTTGGAGGGGGGAGGAGACTGTATGTGATGAAGCAAACCTGAGGTCATCTTTGTATATAGACTGCCAAATTCTTACAAAACCAGCATGCCATTTTAAAAAGAAAGACTGCGTGTCTGTCAGGCCCTTCCACACAGCTGTAGAAAATCTCACATTATCTGGTTTGAACTGTTATATGGCAGTGTGGATCCCCATCCCCATTTCGAGATCTGTCTCTATTTCTGGTCTTACCCGTGTTATGCTAGTGTGGATGCGTTTGAACTAGAAATCCCATGGTTCCATAGCATTGAGCTATGGCAATTAAATTTATTTATTTATTTATGACATTTATATGTCGTCCTTCTCACCCCGAAGGGGACTCAGAGCGGCTTTCTCTCTCTCTCTCTCTCTATATATATATATACACACACATACATATACATACACACAAACATAAACACACACAATACATTATATTATTAGCATAGTACAATATCAGTATTATATATTACTATATTGCACTATAACATTATATTGTAATATTAGTAATATTACATGTGACATAAAAATATAATTATTATACCATATTATTATTAGTAGTAGTATTATATTGTATTACATTATAATATTAAAATATTATATTTATATACAATATATTACATTACATTACATTACATTATATTATATTATTAAAGTGTTGTCAAACTATGTAGAATAGGTATGGGCAAACTTGGACCCTCCAGGTGTTTTGGACTTCAACTCCTGCAATATTATATACAATATATTATATTACATTATATTACATTATTAAAGTGGTGTCAAACTGTACAGAATAGGTATGGGCAAACTTGGGCCCTCCAAGTGTTTTGGACTTCAACTCCCACAATATTATATATTATATTATATTATTAAAGTTGTGTCAAACTGTATAGAATAGGTTTGGGCAAACTTGGGCCCTCCAGGTGTTTTGGACTTCAACTCCCACAATATTATATATTACATTATGTTATATTATTAAAGTGGTGTCAAACTGTACAGAATAGGTATGGGCAAACTTGGGCCCTCCAGGTGTTTTGGACTTCAACTCCCACAATATTATATATTACATTATATTATATTATTAAAGTGGTGTCAAACTGTACAGAATAGGTATGGGCAAACTTGGGCCCTCCAGGTGTTTTGGACTTCAACTCCCACAATATTATATATTACATTATATTATATTATTAAAGTGGTGTCAAACTGTACAGAATAGGTATGGGCAAACTTGGGCCCTCCAAGTGTTTTGGACCTCGTATTACATTACAATATATTATATTATTAAAGTGGTGTCAGACTGTATAGAATAGGTATGGGCAAACCTGGACCCTCCAGGCGTTTTGGACTTCAACTCCCACAATATTATATATTATATTATATTATGTTATTAAAGTGGTGTCAAACTGTATAGAATAGGTATGGGCAAACTTGGACCCTCCAGGTGTTTTGGACTTCAACTCCCACAATATTATATATTACATTATATTATATTATTAAAGTGGTGTCAAACTGTATAGAATAGGTATGGGCTAACTTGGGCACTCCAGGTGTTTTGGACTTCAACTCCCACAATATTATATATTATATACAATATAATATATTATATTATCAAAGTGGTGTCAAACTGTATAGAATAAGTATGGGCAAACTTGGGCCCTCCAAGTGTTTTGGACTTCAACTCCTGCAATATTATATACAATACATTATATTATATTATTAAATTGCTGTCAAACTGTATAGAATAGGTATGGGCAAACTTGGACCCTCCAAGCGTTTTAGACTTCAACTCCTGCAATATTATATATTATACTACATTATATTATGTTATTAAAGTGGTGTCAAACTGTATAGAATAGGTATGGGCAAACTTGGGCCCTCCAAGTGTTTTGGACTTCAACTCCCACAATTCCTAACAGCCAGTAGGCTGTTTGGAATTGTGGGAGTTGAAGTCCAAAACACTTGGAGGGCCCAAGTTTGCCCATACCTAGTGTAGATGCACCCTCAGAGGAAGGGAAAGATCTGTGATAGGTTTGCTATCAGTTAGAGAGGACTTGAAGGCAAACAACAACAACAACAACAACAAATCCTGACTTGAGCAAAAGCCAGGAGAGGAAACCCTCATTAGTATTATCATCCTCCTCATCAGTACAAATATGGGAAGGAGTCTCCTCTCCCAAGCCTCTCCCCTTGCTCTCATTTACCCCTCTAACTTTCCTCCATTTCCCTACCTTGTTCTCAGTGGCAGCCAGGCCAGGGCTCTCCTCTCCATTCCAGCCACGCAAAAGGAGTCCACACTCCCTTCACCTTCGCCTCTTCCCAGCCAGCCAACGAGCTACCCAGCCGCCGGACGCCTAGAGCGGATACCGTCTGGATGGAGGAACATCGCGGCACCAGGAAGCAGCCATAGAGAAACCTCCACCGGTTGCCTAGACGGACAAACCCAGGCAGGAAGTGCATATTGGACTCTATGGTTTCTCCGCACCTACGCTATGAAAGCCATTACCAAAGTCTAGTCCGCCATGTTGTTTCTGGACTTCAACTCCCAGAAGCCTCAGCTGCTGTGGCCAAGGGTGAAGGATGCTGGGAGTTGAAGGCTGAAAAAACCCAGAAGGCCATAATTTGGCAAACACCCTTCCTTCTGAAGAGGTATCGTTCAATTCAGTTGTGCTTTGTAAAAATAAGACCCGTTTATCAATCTGTACAGCAGTGAGGAGATTTTTGAGTTTACTTTTTAAAGAAACAATAAAGAGTTATAGTATTGCCGAAGGCTTTCATGGCTGGAATCACTAGGTTCTTGTGGGTTTTTTCGGGATATAGGGTCATGTTCTAGAGGCATTTCTCCTGACGTTTCGCCTGCATCTACATCTTAACACCTCTCAACAAAAGATTTTCCCAGGCTCAGCCAGGCCTTCAAATGCTAATGAAGGGGTCTGTTGAAACATTCACACCTAGCTCCAGCAGAGAAGAGCTCTTTGTCCCACCCCAGCCATTCCACAGATATATAAACCCATTGTCCTAATTCCAACAGACCTCACTACCTCTGAGGATGCTTGCCATAGATGCAGGCGAAACGTCAGGAGAAATGCCTCTAGAACATGGCCCTATAGCCCGAAAAAATCCACAAGAGTTATAGTCTTAGGTATTCTCTATTGTAGTCCTTGGGAGCGTCTGCACTGTGGAGTTAACGCAGTTCGACGCCACTCTAACTGTTCAATGTGATGAAAACCTGGGATTTGTAGTTTTTCAAGGCTTTTAGCCGCCTCTGCTGGCTGACAACTATAACTTCTCAGGATTCCATAGCATTGAGACATGGCAGTTAAAGTGGTGTCGAACCGCGTTAATTCCACAGTGTAGATGTGCCAGTAAAATTGCCAGGTTTTCGAAATAAGAGACTAAATGGAAAATACTAACAATCAAAAGCCTAACAATCAAAGCAGCTGCTAATCTGTTTAAATGTTTTTTAATATATATATTATTTTTAAATATATTTTGTTTAAATATATTAAATATATATTATGTTTAAGTATATTTAAATGTATTATGTTTAAATATTTTTAAAATATATATATTATGTTTAAATATAATCTGTTTAAACTCTCAGTTGCCTACGGACTGAGAAAGGCGGTGTACAAATACAGTAAATAAATAAATATCAGGTCATTTATATTGATGAGGATGTTAATTTTACGGAGAAACCCATGGCTAAATTACAGGACACGCAAACTCCTGTATTTAGAAAACTCCAGCTTTAATAGGAAGGAAACACCTCTCACTTTGGCCCCATCTACACTGCCATAGGATGCAGTTTAACTCCATTATACCAATTTATCTTACTATACGATGTACTTCTATGCAGTTAAACTGCATCCTATAGATAGGGCCTATGTTTGAAAGGTTGAACAGTCCAAGTCTGTTGACCATCAATGGTCCTGAACAGGTCGCTTGGTCACAATCTGCCATACTTGTTGAACCTTCTGGTATTTCTAGTTAAATTACAATATCTTATATATCAGGCACGGGCAAACTTGGGCCCTCTAGATGTTTTGGACTTCAACTCCCAGAAATCCCAGCTAGCTTACCGGCTGTTAAAGCCCCCCAAAAGTGGCACAAGGGGTTAAACTGCTGAGCTGCTGAACTAACGGTTGCTGGTTTGAATCTGGAGAGTGGGCTGAGCTCCCACTGTTAGCCCCAGCTTCTGCCAACTTAGAAGTCCTAAAACATTCAAAAGTGAGATCAATAGGTACCACTTCTGTGGGAAGGTAATGGCACTCTATGCAGTCATTACAGCCACATGACCTAGGAGGAGTCTATGGACAATGCCGGCTCTTCAGCTTAGAAATGGAAATGAGCACCACCACCCCAGAGTCGGACACAACTAGACTTAATGTCAGGGGAAACCTTTACCGACTGTTAGGAATTGTGTGAGTTGAAGTCCAAAACACCTGGAGGGCCGAAGTTTGCTCATGCCTGATATATACGTGCCCACATGATACTTTTGCAGTTCTTATGTCTTCGTTTGCCTGTGATGCATAAATGTCCATCCTCAACCTTGCAAAATTTGGAAGGGAATGCATTACTCCGGCCAATCAAAGTGACTGTTTCTTTTGCCCATATATTCAGGAACAGATTGTGGAAGTGTGGAAGGGATCGTGGCTTAGTAAAAAGCACACACGTTGTAAACGGAAGGTCTGAGATTTAGCCTTTGGCCCTTTCCATTTAATGACTTACTTCATAAAGTCAGTGATAAGAAAAACCTAAACAGCAGCTGCCAGTGAAAAGAGGAAACATAGGGCAAAACAGTTAAGTTTAATACGGTATCTCTCAAGGGCTTATTGGGTATCTGATCCAGACTTAAGCTCACACTCTGGCAATAGGTTCAACAATTCGAACCCAAAAATAGTATAAGGAAGTAGGAAAATCCCGAATGAGGATTGATGAAGGTGAGCAAGACCTTGTCCGTTTGACTCATCAATGCTTGTGGCCAAAGGAAACAGGGAAATTGCATCACCTGGTGCATTTAGCACAGTAATCTGTTTTCTTTCGTGATGTGGTGGTTCATTTCATTTCCAACATGCTGAAGTAGAATTTTCTGGGATTTCCTGACCATAATGTGCTTTGCATTTCTGCATTAAAGTATTTGTCTCTGACTATATTTTCAAACAGGCAAATTAGGGTAGCATGAGAAACAGCCACAGAAAACTATGTCAAGGAGCAAAGTTTGTCCACTCCAACTCTCCTTACAAAACTGTGGAAGATAGAAGGAGAAGGCTACATCGTACCCAACTCCACCAGTGGTTCTCAACCTGTGGGTCCCCGGATGTTTTGGCCTTCAACTCCCAGAAATCCTAACAGTTGGTAAACTGACTGGGATTTCTGGGAGTCATAGGCCAACACACCTGGGGACCCACAGGTTGAGAACCACTGCTAGACTAAGTGAAATAAAAGGATGCTTGACCATCTCTTCACAGCTAAAGCAGTGGTTCTCAACCTGTGAGTCCCCAAATGTTTTGGCCTTCAACTCCCAGAAATCTTAACAGCTGGCAAACTGGCTGGGATTTCTGGAGTTGTAGGCCAAAACACCTGGGGACCCACAGGTTGAGAACCACTGCTCTAAAGGCACTAAATGCCATCTGGTTTGGGAAGTTAAGCAGTAACTAGATCTAGTTAGTACATGTATGGGTGGCCACCAGGCGCTATGAGGTATATTTCAGAAGAATCATAGAATCATAGAGTTGGAAGAGACCCCTTGGGCCATCCAGTCTAACCCCCTGCCAAGAAGCAGGAAAATCACATTCAAAGCACCCCTGACAGTTGGCCATCCAGCCTCTGTTTAAAAGCCTCCAAAGAAGGAGCCTCCACCACACTCCAGGGCAGAGAGTTCCACTGCTGAACAGTTCTTCCTCATGTTCAGGTGGAATCTCCTTTCCTGTAGTTTGAAGCCATTGATCCGTGTCTTAGTCTCCAGGACAGGAGAAAACAAGCTTATTCCTTCCTCCCTATGACTTCCCTTCTTCACATATTTACACTTATTTACTTACTTATTTAGGTGATCCCTTGTAGTCCGAGTAGGATTGTCATCCAAGATCGGTGAACTGGTGGTGGGTCCATAGGTGACTGTGGAGCCCTATTCTTGATCTGCATATTCTCCTGCAGTGAGGGCATTGGTTTCCAGGTCTGGGTTGGGTTGACACGCCTTCCTCTTGGCACGTTTCTCTCTTTCACCCTCCATTCGTGCCTCTTCAAATTCTACAACACTGCTGGTCACAGCTGACCTCCAGCTGGAGTGCTCAAGGGCCAGGGCTTCCCAGTTCTCAGTGTCGATGCCAGAGGTTTTAAGGTTGGCTTTGTCTTTAAATCACTTTTCCTTCCCACCAACATTTAGTTTTCTGTTCTTGAGTTCGGAGTAGAGCAACTGCTTTGGGAGACGGTCATCGGGCATCCGGACAACGTGACTGGTCCAGCGGAGTTGATGGCGGAGGACCATCTCTTCAATGCTGGTGGTCTTTGCTTCTTCCAGCATGCTGACATTTGTCGCTTGTCTTCCCAAGAGATTTGCAGGATTTTTCGGAGGCAACGCTGATGGAATTGTTCTAGGTTTGCATGTGATGTCTGTAGATAGTCCACGTCTCAGGCGTATAGCAGTTGGGAGGACTGCTTTATAGACAAGCACCTTGGTATCCCTACGGATGTCCGGTCCTCAAACACTCTCTGCTTCATTCAGGAAAAATGCTGCACTTGCAGAGCCTCAGGTGGTGTTGTATTTCAGTGTCAATGTTGACTTTGTGAGAGATGGCTGCCAAGGTATTGGAAATGGTCAACATTTTTCTAATGTTTACCATTAAGCTGTATTTCTGGCATTGGAGAGATTGGCTGGTGACTGCTGGAAGAGCACTTTGGTTTTCTCGATGTTCAATGAGGCCGAGCTTCTCGTATTCTTCTGCAAAGGTGTTTAGAGTGGCTTGTAGGTCTTCTTCTGAATGCGCACAGATTGCATTGTCATCAGCATATTGGAGTTCTATGGCCATCATGTCTCCTCTCAGCCTTCTCTTCTGCAGCTAAACATGCCCAGCTCTTTAAGCTGCTCCTCATAGGGCTTCTTCTCCAGACCCTTAATCTTTTTAGTTGCCCTCCTCCGGATATGTTCCAGCTTGTCAACATCTCCCTTCAATTGTGGTGCCCAGAATTGGACACAATATTCCAGGTGTGGTCTAACCAAGGCGGAATAGAGGGGTAGCATGACTTCCCTGGATCTAAACACTATACTCCTATTTGCCAGAAGGAACTGGCAAAACTACCTCTGAGTATTCTTTGCCTAAGAAAACTATATGAATATCATGAGGTCACCACAAGCCGACGGCGACTTGTTCAAGGTTCACAAACACACACAGTCAGCTATGTACGTATTTA